GGTAGGTTTTCCTACAAAGTTAACTCAGCCTCCATTGATTTTCCTATCAAATTAGCGTGTTAATAAAATAAGCTATCATGGCTTACACTTGCATATCTAAACAGAATCATGAAAGCCTGTTGGTAGAGTCAGGCACACGAGTCCGTTTGAGTGTGTGCGCCGGTGTCTGAACGCTCACTCACTGCTAGCTATGTAGCTAACTGTTAGGCTACGCTTGCATTGTTATGGATCTAAAGGTAGCAAAAGCTAACTTTCATAGCACAGCTTTACTTCTCACTTAACACAATAAAGAAACAGACCGTATAGTCTGTATAGCACAAACAACACAAATGATCAATACTTAAGTTACATATATTTTCACTTGTATTATAATAATTGAAATGCTGGTTCTTCTGGAGGTGTTCTATCCACGCTCAGCTACCGCACCGCAGCTGCCTGCACTGTACAATCGCTGGAGGCTGTCACTCAAAAACTGAGTAGCCAATGGGGACGCACCCCTGAAAGTCCCGCCCACCTGGGAGGTTTGTGTCAGAATCTCAAACAAAAAGTGAAGGAGCGCAAAAGAGAGTGCTGCAGCGAGAGCAAAAGTCTGATCATTGAGAAAGAAGAAACAAGAACTGCAAACAAAAACCTATGTTAAAACAAAGACAAAATACTTATAGTTTACATGATTACACAAATGATTTGTTTGCAACTTAAATTTTTATTTTGCTTGACTCCGTTTTTTTTTCTTTTAAACTCATAGTTTTGCTTTATTCTGAGAAAGTGTTGCTTTATCTTTATGATACAAAACTAATCCCATACTTATTGAGTTAATACATTAATGAACCACAGTGAGTCACAATACAAAGATGATGACACTATACATGTGTAATATTTAGATGCCATTACAGACAGTCATTTGGATTTATTCCACAAAACAACATTCAGTAGACTGCTGACTTCAGCAGCTTAGTGTCTCCCCTCAGGGCTTCTTAAAATCCTCTTAACAGTGAAGGATTTTGGACTTTAACCAGGAACTTACATAAGTACATATTCAGTTAAACGGGTTAAGATCAGTTTACAGGGTATGAAGGTGCTTTCAAAACCTGACAACTCCAAACATACTGAACTGTAGGGATGCACAATTACTTTACATTTTGTTCAAAAAACCAATATGGACTTATGCAATATTCAAATTACATTAAGGGCAGTTTGGTAAAGGCTATGATAACATTTTTGTGGAGCTGCAAAGAAGCCCTGTCTGGTACAGAAAAAAACCCCATGATCATTTCAGTATATTTTAGCAAATCTTATTGCTAGTTCAATTCCAGTCAAAATAATTAGAATTGAGTTAAACCCAAACTACAGAGACACACATTTGCTCTAAGGAAGTTAGTGCAAACTCATGCAACTAAATGTTCTTATATGATTTAACTCGAATGCAAATGTCTTTTCAAACGTCAGCAAATGATAAAGCATAACATCCTAAATGACAGAACATAAAATGCTGTAGGCTTGTCAGAAATGTGTGTCAACATGTAAAAAAGTGTCATATTGCTTCAGGCTCTAACCAAACAGGGTCAGTTGTTTATTCCTTAATGTGTAAATGCCACATTCAGGTCTATTTAAACTATTTAAGGGATTAGTACTTGGCAATTTAATATCTTAAATGACAGAGGCCGTTTCTCAATGTCGAGTATACCTGCTGCAGAGCCACTATTTCAAGTATACTACGTCATCGAGTGGCGCCGAATCCTGGGCATTTAACATGCATTTAGGCCCAATCCCAAACCACGCCCTACACCCTACCCCTACACCAGGGCTTCTCAAACTCCGGACCAAGGTCCGGATCCGGACCGAACTGCAAATCAATCCGGACCGAACCCTGTGTCCCATTATAAAAAATAAAAAAATTATAAAAAAAAAAAAAAAAAAAAAAAATTCTGATTCTGATAAATTAATGTACATCATCGTGTACGCGCGTCTTGTGTCTGACGCGTTGTGAGAATGAACGTGCATATATATTTACTTGTGTGCACGAGCGTGACACGCATAGCAGACCGCAAGTTAACTGCAAGTTTACCTTGACATACTGTATGTATGTATTGAATGTGTGTGTGTATACAGGGGCGCCGTTTATCGACAGGCAAGGCAGGCAAATGCTTGGACCAGAAGGCGGCCCCCAAAGAAGGTAGATTAAGAAGGTCCACAGCAACGACAACATGAAACACCCTTTAATTTACTGCAACGACATGTCGGGAAACTCCATGCATAGAGCGCCAAGAAACTGCTTCTTAATTTCAGTTTCGTTTCTCCGCTCGGGGGGGGGGGGGGGGACTTTACTGGCATTGATCCGGACCAGTGACCTTGTATAAAGTTCACAACTGGACCTTTAATAAAAAAGTTTGAGTACCCCTGCCCTACACACTACCCCTCCGTTTGCGCGTTCGCGCGGAGGGTCCGCCACATTAAGTGCTGTTCCAAACCAACGAGTGTGGAGCGGTGTGGAGGGGGAGTGGGCTATCAAGCCATCAAACAGTGGGTGTTTCTTAATCTCGAGTAAAGCTGCTCCAGAGCCACTATTTCAAGCATACTACGTCATCGAGTGCCACCGAAGTACTGTTCCAATGTCCAGCATACTTGGAATTCTACCGTGCCTGGCGTACTTCGTTTGGAGAAATTTCGAGGCTGCACATGTGTAGACTCCGCGGTCTTAAAATCCCCACAATGCTTTGCGCACGGACCAATTTCCCCAAATATGTGGCGGAAAATGTAAGGCGGGGCCTCTCATATGACGCACACCTGCACACTTGCTCGCCTGTTCCACTCTTCGTTTTCCGAATGCTAGGAAGTATTCTTGCCTCGCTTCTGAAGCAAGACGCTCGGAAGACATGTGCTACCAAGCAAGCATACTCGAGATTGAGAAACACCCAGCGAGTCTGCATCGGTGCTGACTGGAGACTGGTCTCTACCTGACCGGAGTCAACGCTGTGTGTGTCCGTCAGGAAACATGCTGTTTACAAGTAGTTCCAGCAAACATCCACTGATAAATTGCGATGTTAACAACCTCATGATAACCTCATATTTTTTTTAACTTAGGATCATACAGAGCCGGCCCGACCCATTAAGCGACATAAGCGGCCGCTTAGGGCCCCGCAGCCACTAAGGGCCCCCTAGCAAAAAAAGAAAAAAAATATATATAAAACAATAATCTCAGTACACCGTCGCCGTGATAAGTATGTTTAATTAATTTTGTTAATATGCCTAGATTGCCTACTCTCAAAGTCATGTATTATATTATTGAGTCAATCATACATTCACCGTGCTTTACCTGAACCTCATCATGACACTAGAGAGGACGGCAGGAGTGTAAGGAGTTGCATGGAAATAAACATCTGTCTTATTGGCTGACAGGTACCTATCCTGTGACAATGTTTAAAATAAACTGTCAGTCGGACTCAGAGTTTTTGAAGATGGACATAAGAACATTTTTCCTTAAAAAAGACAACAATTCTCAAGTGGTGGCTCACACAACAACCCCAGAGCCACCACTCGAGCCAGGTAAACAAGGTATGTAAATGTCAGTAAACTTCCAAGTTATGCGAACATGTAAGCAAAGCATAAATTACAGCTACGTTGACGTTACTTTGAATCGCGGGGGTAAGCTAAACCGTTAGCAAGTAGCTATAGCTAGCCAGAGAGATTAAATAAACACTTTGTCATACAATCTAAATGTAATGTTTTTTAGCGTTACCTGGTGATTTCAAAGAAAGCTCTCTGGGAAATGTTGACTTACTGTTCGACATGAAGCTAGAAGCTATACCTTACAGTACACAGTTGATCCTGAGTCCTGTCAGTTAAAGTGTTTCATAGTTAGCTTAGCTAAGCATCAACCTAGCACTGAAATATATGGATGTTATGTGACAGTATTTCTGAGAAAAAGTCAGCTGAAATGGTGGCATAGTTGCCACTGCTTTACGTGTCGACAGCATGTTTGAACGTATTTGCAGCAGTAAATGTGGCTGTTTGGCCACTGACGTTGCCATAACAACACCTGAATTTAAATGGGCAACCTCTTTTTGTGACAGATTTTTGCATGAAATTATGATTCTTCTGAATGATATTCCTATTGACAGCTAGTTTATATGTGAACATTATGAGATGGACAGCCAGAGAGAATAAATGAAAAACAGTTATGAAATACTATATGACAAAACAAGAATACAGTTTAAAAGGGGAGTGATTTGTAAAATATCCATAAAGAAAAATCTGTTTACAGTTCTGTTTCATATGGGTGTTGAGAGATGTATCCATAGATCTCTCAATGTTGCTCTCAAAGTGCACCAGATTGATGCTTTTAACTTCAATATTTAAAAAAAATCTTCCTGGGGGAACATGCCCCCGGACCCCCCTAGAGGAGGTGAGGACCCCCCTAGAGGATGTTAGGTCCACGGTGTTTACATGCTTATTTATACAATATGTGTGCTTATGCTAACACCATAAGACACAATTTGGTTCTGTGTTGTGTGTAGTGAGAACGTGCTAGAGTGAGGGGGGCCCCCAAGCCAAAGCTCGCTTAGGGCCCCCAAAAGTGTAGGGCCGGCCCTGGGATCATACCTGTGTTTAGTCTAGAAAAATGTAAATGTGTGCATTTTATTATAAAGTTGTGTATATTTACAGATTGTTGCAAAAACTAAGAAGCTTATAAAAATGAGGTTTAAAACTAAAAGAGCTTTACAAAAAAGTAACACAATTAAAGATGTTTGGAGTTTTATTTGAGTTATTAATTTTAATTTGTTGTCTAAGAGATGCTGATTTGAAACCGTTGTTACATACATTTACGGCATTTCCTGTTTCTGCCGGAGAGAGGGGAGTTTGTCCCAAAGCTTGCCGCTGTATTTACTCCCTCCATCTGACAGGAGGAGCCTCGTTGAGCTGCGAGTGTCAATCCGTCACGGAGGGGGAGTGTGTAGGGGTAGGGTGAAGGGCGTGGTTTGGGATTTGGCCTTAAAGAGTCCTTCGGCGCCACTCTATGACGTAGTATACTTGAGAGAGTGGCTCTGCAGCAGGTTTAGTCGACGACATTGAGAAACGGCCCGTGTCTAAGGTACAAACTACAAACGCAGCTTTTTTGTTTTTAATAGTAGTGCCATATTGAAATTGATACTTAACCGTTGTCTATTTTTTCCTCAACAGTTCAGCCATGGAAGATGAAATCGCCGCACTGGTTGTCGACAACGGATCCGGTATGTGCAAAGCCGGATTCGCCGGAGACGACGCTCCTCGTGCTGTCTTCCCCTCCATCGTCGGTCGCCCCAGGCATCAGGTGAGGCATTGAGCTCCAAAAGAATAGAGAAAATGTAGACTTGATAAGCATTTGCATATGATATTTATAACCAGCCAGTCAATCAGTACACACGATGATCCTTTATCAGTCCCTATAGAGGAAATTCATGTGTTGCCGTAAAGACCTAAATAAGTACAAATATAGAAGTAAACAGACATGCAAAGCAATACATCGCATGTATTCATGTGCCTGTGTTACCGTTTAACTGGTGGCGCGGGGAACTCGTGATATTCTATAACGGTAGGAATGTGTCAGGGCCCAGGGCGTGTACTTTGAGTAGCCATTGTCGAATAACCAGGAAATACACATTTCGATCGCTTCTTCTGTCGTTTACATTCATCTTTTGGTATATCTGGCTGGATAGGAACACTTTGATGCACATTCAGTACCAATGTGTGAGGTTGTGGTTGCGATGCCGATATCCGGACGCGTACAGCGAGGACTACAAAATGACAATGAGGGGACTGGGGATGTCCGTTCAAAACATTGCACGCTTGAATAAATCATTTAAGCCAGTTATTTTTGCCAGACTTATTACTGAATATCGTTCTTAATGTGATACCACCAAGTCCATCTGAGACCCGTGTACACCTTCAGACAGCCTACAAGCAGGGCGGTAGGAAGTAGGGGTGCTGAGGGTGCTGCAGCACCCCCTGGTGGAGGACAGGGGATCTGCACTTCCACAAGATTAAATACAAATATAATTTAAAAAAAAAATTGCCCTGTACGATGGGCGTGATGAAAGTGGGGGATGTTGGCTTATCAGGCGCCCGCAGCTCACAGTCAAAGTGAGAGAGAGAGAGATAGATAGATAGATAGATCAGGGCTTCTCAAACTCCGGACCAAGGTCCGGATCCGGACCGAAGCCTGTGTCCCATTATAAATTAAAAAAAAATATATATATATATATATATATTTATTTTTTTTTTTATAATGGGACACAGGCTTCGGTCCGGATCCGGACCTTGGTATATTACAAAAAAAAAAAAAAAAATCTGATTCTGATAAATTAATGTACATCGTGTACGCGCGTCTTGTGTCTGACGCGTTGTGAGAATGAACGTGCATATATATTTACTTGTGTGCGCGAGCGTGACACGCATAGCAGACCGCAAGTTTACCTTGACTTTCTAATGCCTTTTTTGCCGAGGTTCAAGGCATTGACTACAGACAAACAGTGCCATTTCTCCCACTAGTTCAAGCCACTGTATGTATGTATTGAATGGGTGTATACAGGGGCGCCGTTTACCGGCAGGCAAGTGCTTGGACCAGAAGGGGGCCCCCAAAGAAGGTAGATTAAGAAGGTCCACAGCAACGACAACATGAAACGCCCTTTAATTTACTGCAACGACATGTCGGGAAACCCCCTCAAGGGGGCCCCATGCATAGAGCGCCAAGAAACTGCTTCTTAATTTCAGTTTCGTTTCTCCGCTCGGGGGGTGGGGGACTTTACTGGCATTGATCCGGACCAGTGACCTTGTATAAAGTTCACAACTGGACCTTTAATAAAAAAGTTTGAGTACCCCTGGTTTAGATAGTTCACTTTAGTCTTAAGTTATCTCAGTGGGTCTTGTTTTGATCACAATTTATGTAAACAAATATTTCCAAGGCACACCTTAATAATTATTAGGATAAATAAAAACAGGTTTGAAATCATTCCAATGTATACTATAGGACAGTAAACCAAAAATATTGTTTAAAACTGGAGGGACTTAAAAATATGCATAAATAAATGTTAATAGGTCAAATAAGATATAAATGAACCACAAAAATAAAATAAGTTGGCCTACATTTATTTGTTATTGGCTATCGTAGGTTATTGGAAATGTTCACATACTTATTTGATTAATAAAATGCAAACCGATCTTTTTCATATGGGTGTTTAGAGTTGTACCCCCTAGATCAGTCTCTAGTAGTTGGGTGCTCAAAGTGCACCAGATTGAAGCATTTTACTTTTAAAATGTTAAAATAAATCTTCCCACGCACACGTAGTTTACTCACAGTTTGAAAGCAGCGTGGAGAAGTCTTCAGCTGTGGAGCTGGGATCTGCCCAGGTTACATTGTGATACGACTTCTGTTCTGTGGCTATCTACCAGCGATCATGTTTCATATTAAAGACTACACGCATGTATCCCTTATCAAAACAGTATTCTGCACTTATCCAGATAAGATGTGACAGTTTACTCGTTTTGCAAAGATAGCAGCAGAAATGTAATTGCTGCATGTGTAGGGATATTTAGACATTAAAATGCTGCTTGGTCATTCATTTTGGTCTCCGCAAACAATATTATGAATCCTCTATTTAAAAATATAATTCAGTGTCCATCGACATGAAAATAACTAAAAAGTTCATGCTGGACTCAAACCCAACAGCAAAAATCACTCAAGTCCTGCGCGTTGTGAGTGAGCCACGAATCATTACGACATCTTGGTTCATCACAGCTCAATTTCACACATTAACATTGTTAAAAGATTCAGAAAAATGCAACCCAACCATCATTTATAATGTGAGCGAATTTATGTATACTTTAAAGGTGGGGTAGGTAATTTTGAAGAAACCAGCAGAATATATAATCTAACCATCTCTGATCTCTTGATTCCAGGGTGTGATGGTCGGTATGGGCCAGAAGGACAGCTACGTTGGTGATGAAGCCCAGAGCAAGAGGGGTATCCTGACTCTGAAGTACCCCATTGAGCACGGTATTGTGACCAACTGGGATGACATGGAGAAGATCTGGCATCACACCTTCTACAACGAGCTGAGAGTTGCCCCCGAGGAGCACCCCGTCCTGCTCACAGAGGCCCCCCTGAACCCCAAAGCCAACAGGGAGAAGATGACCCAGGTACACACCCTTAACTTTAGCACATACAGAATGTAGCATACTTAGCTTATCCAGTATCATTAGGTATTTAACTAGTAGCCTCATTTCTTCCTGGGTTTCCCTCTCCATTCCATTCTCACCTGCTCCTTCCTCCCCCTCTCCTCCAGGACTTCTCTCCTATAAGATGATCTATCATCAACAGGTCTCTCTTGACTGTGTGCCTTTATCTGCACTTGTGTAGCTGAGTTATTAAATCAGCACTACTTTAATAGACATCTGACATGCACAAGTGTGAAGGAATGATGACTTTCTGCACTTTGTTTCTCTACTAACTTTAATCTTAGCCTCACACAATAATGCATGTAGTGAGTGCAGTGGCCACAGAAGTTAAGTACCTTTTTTATTGTGATTGATTATTAACATGTTCTCTTCATTTTACAGATCATGTTCGAGACCTTCAACACCCCCGCCATGTACGTTGCCATCCAGGCTGTGCTGTCCCTGTACGCCTCTGGTCGTACCACTGGTATCGTCATGGATTCCGGTGATGGTGTGACCCACACAGTGCCCATCTATGAGGGTTACGCCCTGCCCCACGCCATCCTCCGTCTGGATTTGGCTGGCCGCGACCTCACAGACTACCTCATGAAGATCCTGACAGAGCGTGGCTACTCATTCACCACCACAGCTGAGAGGGAAATCGTGCGTGACATCAAGGAGAAGCTGTGCTACGTTGCCCTGGACTTCGAGCAGGAGATGGGCACCGCTGCCTCCTCCTCCTCCCTGGAGAAGAGCTACGAGCTTCCCGACGGTCAGGTCATCACCATCGGAAACGAGAGGTTCCGTTGCCCAGAGGCTATCTTCCAGCCATCCTTCCTCGGTGAGTTACCAACTTCACATAACCTGCACTACATCCCTAAAAATAAAGAAAAACCCCTTCTAGTTATCCTGCAGCTACACTTGCTAACCATTGTTTTGATTCTGCCCACAGGTATGGAGTCTTGCGGAATCCACGAGACCACCTACAACGGCATCATGAAGTGTGACGTCGATATCCGTAAGGATCTGTACGCCAACACCGTGCTGTCCGGAGGTACCACCATGTACCCCGGCATCGCTGACAGGATGCAGAAGGAGATCACCGCCCTGGCCCCATCCACCATGAAGATCAAGGTGAGCTGAGCCTCTGCCCAGCCAGCAGAGTAACGTACTGCTCTGTTTGAGTCAGATGAATGCAAAAAGAAATGGCGTCTAATGCATCTTCCCCTTGTCTCTCTGCAGATCATTGCCCCACCAGAGCGTAAATACTCTGTCTGGATCGGAGGCTCCATCCTGGCCTCTCTGTCCACCTTCCAGCAGATGTGGATCAGCAAGCAGGAGTATGATGAGTCCGGCCCCTCCATCGTCCACCGCAAATGCTTCTAAAAAAATAGACTGTTCCTCCTTCCCCCTCCCCAACCAGACGCCCAACAACTTCAGCTCTGTGCAAAACAACCACACACACATTTCTCATACACACTCAGGCGCAGAGCCTAGACGACCAACTCATTGGCATGGCTTCAGTTATTTTGGCGCTTTACTCAGGATTTTAAACTGGAACGATGAAGGAGAGGTTTTTGTACTTTCAGCCTTAAAAATATCTTGGTCCTGTTTAATTTCTTTTGTTTTTGTTATGCAAAACCCAGTCATGACCTCTTCCCCCTGATGGAGGTTTCATTCCCCGGGGTGGTGGGGCAAAGGGGTCTCGCAGTGATGGGGTAACATGGGGTGCCAGACCAGTGGGTCCAACCTGTACACTGACTAAACAATCCCAATAAAGTGCACATGTGTTCCGACATGACGTCTGACTCTTGTCTTCCATTTAAATGATTTTATTTCAATGTGAATGTGACTTCCAACTGTTATATAGAAGTATGTGTTAAACTCAAAGTGGTCAGATCACCTTTTTAGGTATAACCATTTTGATTTTATTCCATTGGTAGCTGCTTATTGAGTTAATACATTAATGAACCACAGTGAGTCACAATACAAAGATGATGACTCTATACATGTGTAATATTTAGATGCCATTACAGACAGTCATTTGGATTTATTCCACAAAACAACATTCAGTAGACTGCTGACTTCAGCAGCTTAGTGTCTCCCCTCAGGGCTTCTTAAAATCCTGTTGGCAGTGAAGGATTTTGGACTTTAACCAAAATGTCCCTTAAAGTGTTATCCAATACTGGATAACAATAGAGCTCGGTTTTAACATTGTATGGCCTCTGTTTAGAAATGGCTCTCATCCGAGGTAAGAAAGTAGAAAACATTGGATTTTATGGAGAAAATACTCCTGTTCAAATTGAGTGATTAAGACATCAACTGTACGCTCAACGGGCACTACTTTTTATTGATGAAATCAAAGTTTATATAGAAATGTACATACACAAAGGTAACTCAAAGTGCTTCACAAACAAAACAATTTACAAATAGAAACAATACTCTCGCCTTTCCCCTAATAATAGAAGTCACACAGGTTTGTGACTCAAAGAACACTTATTACAACACACATATACATATAATACAAATAAATAAAAATACACTACAATTACAATATTAAAATATGAGAAGCCCTTTAATGATCTGTAAAAGTCATGTTACTGTAAATGGAGATTCAAAGGAACTCGGTGTCAAGTTATAATCTTTTTGTCCTGAAATAATTAACTGAAATATATTCCCAGTGGTCATTGTGCAACACAACACATCCCTTGGTTAACAAACTGCATAAACTCCTTTCACCTCCTTGATAAGCACTAAACATGTAAGCTTTAATTCCTCCACACAGCATGAGCAATGCCTTGTATAACATAATTACCTCAGGATTAAACCAGGAGTGTTTAGTGGTGCTAGGAATAGGTTTCAGTTTGTTTTAATTAATAGCTTTTTGCACAAACATAAGTTCAGGGTTCTCGTTACTCAGTCATGAATTAAAATGAATAGATGTGTGGAGAGAGAGAGAGAGAGAGAGAGAGAGAGAGAGAGAGAGAGAAACTGCTTCCTTATTTGAGTCATGCTGCCTTCAGGCGCTTCAACTGCATTCGCCCTCCAGATCACAAATAAGACATCTTTTGTGTATTCTCAGGTTAAAAATACAATGAAAACAAACTTGTAGTAGCTTTTGATATTATAAATATTAAGTAGCAAATGGCAAATGTTCAGCTGGTGTGTTGTTAATATTAGAAATAAATGTCAACTCGTGTTATATTTCCATTCCTTTTCCAATTCAGGGTGATATATACAGAAGCCTAGAACGTTTGCATTGTGTAAATATACAATACACTTTTTTAGACATTCTCCATGAAACATTGACAATTGATCTTAATTCAAAAGTTTCTGGATTTTCAATAGAACAATAATGAAAAACTTTTCTTTCGGATGTCGGAATATTTCAAGTCGTACTTGAATGCAGCACTACCCAACGTTCGCTCCATGTTCGCTCCCGCCGGCTCGCGCAGGAAAGAAAAAACCGCCGCTGTGGCTCCGCCCCCTGAGAAGGGTATAAGTAAAGGCGGCTCCTCTTCTCCCTCAATACTGCCTCTACAACCGATTCTTTAGTGTCGGAGAGGAGCAGGGGAAAAAACCTACAAAAATGGTGAGTAATGAAGAAAATGAGAGCGTAGTCCAGCTTGTATTATACAAATATCGACGTTTTTGTATAAAATGCATCGTCGATTTATTTCAAATTAACGGGAATTTGATTGTTTTTCGTATAAATCGCGCGTATGCGCGTACAGTGAGGTGGTTCTAGGCCAAACCGTTGGAACAGTTTGAAATTCAAAATCTAACGGCTGTATAGAAATATTTGCTAAAACTGCAGTTTATTAGGAATAAAAGCATAGATTATAAAACGGTTTGCGGAAAACTGTGTTCCCGTCTTTGTGGGTTTGGAAGACATGAGGCTGCGCATTACTGTAAACCGGCGAGCTAGAAGACGCTATCACGACCTGTCCGTGAACGTTACACAAAGGTAGGGCTTTCCAGCAGGGAGGAGAGTCTCCTCTCCTCCATCTCTCCTCCCTGTTGCTCGGTTTGGGAGGGGCACTGGGTAGACGACAGAGTGAAGCAGGTACACGTGACTCAGCACAAAGTAACCACCTCCGGATAGAGATTATAACATGTCCCCGCCCAAAGCACCATATAAAAGGGACTGGATTTTGAGGACACTATTGTCCATTGAATCGGCCATTTTGTAACTGTCCCACTTCGTCCCAACCTTTTTTAATCCACTCTTTTTCTTAATTTGTTCATATAAATGCAATAAATCAAATGTAATGATGAACCATGCTGTTTTATTTGTCAAATTGACACATGGAAACTGTTTGTATTAAGTTAGGCTGTAGTACTATTGTAAGGATATTCTGGGTCAGTGATTTTACTGTATAAACTGACATGGAATGTTTCAGTTCAAATTCTCAATATGAATTATTAGGTCATTTTCATACAGCATAAATGTTATCTGAACAAAAGACTCTCTTTGATATAATAATAATAATAACCATTTGTCTCCTCCACAGCGTGAGTGTATATCTATGCATGTCGGCCAGGCCGGAGTCCAGATGGGCAATGCCTGCTGGGAGCTCTACTGCCTGGAGCACGGCATCCAGCCTGACGGTCAGATGCCGAGTGACAAGACCATCGGAGGAGGAGACGACTCCTTCAACACCTTCTTCAGCGAGACTGGAGCCGGCAAACACGTCCCCAGAGCTGTCTTTGTGGACCTGGAGCCCACTGTCATCGGTAAGGATACACATATTTTTATTTAAACGTGAAATAATATTTTTGAAGAAGACTGGTAGGACAGACGGATAAATAGATGCTTATTGAACCCAAATTGGGAAATTATTTTTTTGCCGCAGCAGTGTGTTCAGGCATTAAAATATATAAATAATAAAATAAAATCAATAAACAGCAAATATAATATCTACAGTAGAATAGACGTGTATCTAAAATATTCTGGATTATTCTGGTTCAATACCCATGACTGTACCCGTGTTGTTCCTCAGATGAAGTCCGTACAGGAACCTACCGCCAGCTCTTCCACCCCGAGCAGCTGATCACCGGTAAGGAGGACGCAGCCAACAACTACGCCCGCGGTCACTACACCGTCGGCAAGGAGATCATCGACCTGGTTCTTGACAGGACTCGCAAACTGGTGAGCTCTTCATCTCATTTACATGTTGCAAGTGAAGCCTTTAAAATAAAAATATATTTCGATTGATGGCAAAACATTTAAAACCATTATCCCTTATTTCCAGGCTGACCAGTGCACAGGGCTCCAGGGTTTCCTGATCTTCCACTCCTTTGGAGGAGGAACCGGCTCTGGCTTCACCTCCCTGCTGATGGAGCGTCTCTCTGTTGACTACGGCAAGAAGTCCAAGCTTGAGTTTGCGGTTTACCCCGCCCCCCAGGTGTCCACCGCTGTGGTGGAGCCCTACAACTCCATCCTGACCACCCACACCACCCTGGAGCACTCCGACTGTGCCTTTATGGTGGACAATGAGGCCATCTACGACATCTGCCGCAGGAATCTGGACATCGAGCGCCCCACCTACACCAACCTCAACAGGCTGATTGGACAGATCGTCTCCTCCATCACCGCCTCCCTGCGCTTCGATGGTGCCTTGAATGTGGATCTGACTGAGTTCCAGACCAACTTGGTGCCCTACCCTCGTATCCACTTCCCTCTGGCCACCTACGCCCCAGTTATCTCTGCAGAGAAGGCCTACCACGAGCAGCTGTCGGTCGCTGACATCACCAACGCCTGTTTCGAGCCGGCCAACCAGATGGTGAAATGCGACCCCCGCCACGGCAAGTACATGGCCTGCTGCCTCCTGTACCGTGGTGATGTGGTGCCCAAAGATGTCAACTCTGCCATCGCCACCATCAAAACCAAGCGCACCATCCAGTTTGTGGACTGGTGTCCCACTGGCTTCAAGGTGGGCATCAACTACCAGCCCCCCACCGCGGTTCCTGGAGGAGACCTGGCCAAGGTGCAGAGGGCCGTGTGCATGCTGAGCAACACCACCGCCATCGCAGAGGCCTGGGCTCGCCTGGACCACAAGTTCGACCTGATGTATGCCAAGAGGGCCTTCGTCCACTGGTACGTTGGAGAGGGGATGGAGGAGGGAGAGTTCTCTGAGGCCAGAGAGGATATGGCCGCCCTGGAGAAGGATTATGAGGAGGTGGGCACCGACAGCGTGGGGGACGAAGGAGAAGAAGGGGAGGAGTACTAAGCCACTGAAACATCTGTGGTGAAGACTCTGACCCTCCAGAGCCTGGACGACCATCTCTTTAGCTTGGCTTCAGTTATTTTGGCGCGTGACTCAAGATTTTAAACTCTTAACGATGAAGGACACCGTAATGTTTAAAAAAAAACAAAAAAAAAAAGGGTTCAGCTGTTGCATCTGGTGACTTAAAACAAATGTTAATCTTTCTATTTTCTTTTGAGTCATTCCAAATGTTGGTTAACTGCATTGTTCTGACAGGCATTGATGATGGGATGCCAGGCCGGGGGAGGCAACCTGTACACTGACTAAACCATTTCAATAAAGTGCACTTGTGTTCCGACATGACATCTGCCTCTTCCATTAAATGACTTTATATCAAGGTGAATGTGACTTCCCTATCTGGTACAGAAAATAACACATGATCATTTCAATATATTTTTCAATGATGATGAGAAAAATGTTTTAAAAAAAGGACCATTCAATCGAATTTTCAAATGTTATGGCTTGTGAGATCCGAGTCAAAATAATTACAATTACTGAGTTAAACCTCAACTAAACAGACACACATCTGCTT